TTTTCTTCTTTGACACTTGGTCTCATGAAGCCTATGGTTGGCCTTGACCCCTCTACTTAACCAAGAATAACTCTGAACTCCTGATCCTCCTGCCCCCATCTCCCAAGCGCTGGGATTACAGACGTGTGCCACCATACTTTTACCTGGTGCTGCAGATTTCAGGCACACTGGGTAAGCACTCTACCAGACTGAACCGTAGCTCCATCCCCCAGACAATAATCTTCTTGGCCAGAAGAAAGGAGCTGCTTCTGAAATATGACTTCTATAGCACTGTGATCAGTGGATGTCTGCCACTTGCCGGAGACACTTCATAGTCCCAGATCCAATTCCAGTTCCCAGAGAGGTCCCTAGGTCCAGAGAGGGCTTGTTCTTCCTCCAAGCTGGGAATGTAGCTCAGTGGTAAAGCACTTGCATGATCTGACATTCCTGAGATTCAGGTGTAATACTACATTAGAAAAAAAAACAAAAAACTCACCCAACTGGGCAGTGGTGGTGCACGCCTTTAATCTCAGCAACTCTGGAGGCAGAGACAGGCGGATCTCAGTGAGTTTGGGGCCAGCCTGGTCTACAGAGCTAGTTCCAGGACAGCCAGGACTGTTACACAGAGAAACCCTGTCTGGCGGGGGGGGGGCGGCGGGGGCGGTGCGCGGCGATGACACGACACAGAACAAAACAGCACCTTCTCTTTCACTTGTCCTTGTGGACCAAAACATTCTGCTTTATTCATTTCCTTTCCCTGGGAAAATCCTTCGATGCTTGCACTTATCATTACGAGGAAAGAAGGCACACATGTGGGGGGAGGGGGGACAAAAAACCGAAGCTAGCTTTCTGCAAACCCACCCAGAGCCTTGCCCGTGAAAGGCAAGCGCTCTACCACTGAGCCATGTCCCCAGCCCCAGGTTGACTTTTGATTCCAGTTCCTCACATTGGATGCAGGGAAATGACAAACTTGGACCTGTGGCTGGGAAATCTAGAAAGCTTTTTTTTTTTTTTTTCCCTTTAGTGCTAGGATTGGAATCCAGGGCCTCACACATATTAGGCAAATTCACTACCTCTGAGGCCCAGCTCAGTGCTATGAAGGGGATTATTTAGATAGAGCATACAAGAAGGGATCCCTCTGTGACAGCCTGTGACTTGCTGGCATCTGGTATGAAGCACAGACTTGGTAGGAAGGGAGGGAGGGAGGAAGGGAGGGAGGAAGAGAGGGAGGGAGGAAGGGAGGAAGGGAGGGAGGGAGGGAGGGAAGGGAGGGGAGGGAGGGAAGGGAGGAATGTGTTCTTCTGGTTTCAGGGGTTCCCCAGAGCCTTGACCTAAACAAGTACAGAGAGTTGACAACAGCCTGGCCTCAAGGCTACTGTTTGTCCAGAGTCTTTCAGACCCACCTGCCTGAGAGCATAGAGACACCACCCTCAGGCCTAAACTGCACCCCCAATCCTCCGCCCCAAGAACTGGCTTTGGTAGAAAGGTCCTGGGCAAAGGGTGATGGATGTCTCCTGGGCCAAGGGGAACCGAGCCTGGGGCCTCTAGTCTGCAGGCAGGAACACAACTGTGGGACTATGAATGCACAATAGCTGTTCTCCTGGATCAGAACCAAGTTTGGAGATGCCTCTGAAGAACCCCAGAAAATGGGGTGTCATCAGCCTCATTTTATAGACAGAAAGACTGAACAAAATGAAAATCAGAAAACCAAACAAACAAATCTCAGAAAGCAACTTGCCCCCCTTTTTTTTTTGAAAAGTGACTTTTCTCAGGGTCCCAGAATAGAGCGCATGCAGATTTTAAGGAAATACCAAAATAACTCAGCATCAAAGACAATATTTAAAGTGCAATCATTTAAAATAAAAAATCTAAAACTCAGGATGGATAAAATAAACATCGTAAATGAAGATTTGCCTGGGTCACTAGGTCCCAGTCTGAGATTTGGAGCTGGGATTCCAATCCCTCTGGTGTGTTCTTGAGTCAGTATTCAAAATCACCCGGCCCCATTCTTCAGCGACTCCAAAGCTTGAATGGCGGCTGTTTATATATATTAGCACAGACCTCAGGGGCATTCCGAAGACACGGAAACATCTCTGTATGGCTCAGCCTGCAGAGCCAGGTAATCAAAAAGAGCAGAAACAAGCCTGTGTCCAATCCCAGGGCTGAGTGGTGCGAGGGGAAGAGGGAGGGAGAAGAGAGAGGGAGGGGGATGAGGTGGAACTGGGAAAAGGAAGCGTCCAGGTCTAGCCCTGACCCAAAACCAAGCCTAGGTCTGATGGAGAAGGCTGGAATCTACAGCCGGCTGCCTCATAACACCCGCAGGCCTCTCCCACCCCCTGGTCTTAGGAGAAGGCTCTGTATGTGCCTTTGTATAAAGAGAAACCCGAGCCCCTAGCAGGAGAGACAAGTTCAGAGGCAGGCAGGGGAGCCAGCTTCTGAAGCTCCATCTTACACCTGTCTGCCCAGGCTCCACCTCTCTGGTGGGGTGTTCTTGGGTTTTGAGGGGCTCTGGATCTATGAGAGGTAATTTCACACGGGGTGGGGACACACAGGGACTGGAATTTGAAACAAGGAATTGCTAGAGGAAGCGGGAAGCTGGAAGAAAAGCCCCGGGGTCTGGGGCGGGAAGCCTGAAAGAAGAGATTTAGATGCTGGGGTGACAGCTCTGGATCCTGGGGTAACACTGACTGGTCCCCTAGAAATGCTCATCAGATTTCCTTCCTCCCATCAAGGTCCCCCAGAGTCTTTGGGAGGGACCAAGAAGTGCTGGAGGACAGGTGTCTGGGAAGCCAGTTGACATCCTACTGAGCACTACATAAGTTTATGGGGCGGGAGTGGGGGTGGGAGTGGGAGAGTGCGGGGTGGGGGTGGGGGTCAGAGAGTTTGGGAAACACGCAGAGGCTCACACCCAACCACTTAGGACCTCAAAGTCCTGTCACCCCTTCCTGTCAAGCAGGCTTCCCCGTTGAAGAGTGCATTGAATCCAGACTGTCTGGACCACTTGGTAAAAATTTCCCCTATCTCTTTCCGGCTGCTTCAGACAGGCTGGGCTCAAGAGCCTGCCAGATGATGGAAGCTGGAGAAGTACCTCTGGTCAACACCCTAAGTTGGAAAGAAGCAGTCATGTGAAAGAGGGCTAGACCCTAAATTCCAAACGAAAAACCCCACGCAGCATGTTTTATATTGCTATAAATTACAATAATTTATATTACAATAATAATTCAATACTAATGATGTTATATTAACTGGCTGTTAAATGTTCTTGGGCCTCGGAGAAGCATAGAGAAGCCGGCTAGGGCTGCAAGAGCTTGAGTCCAGGCCTGGTTTATTTTTTCCTCTTGCCCTAAGAGAGATCTGTGTCCTCTCTGCCTGCTTGGACTCTGAACTGTGAGCTATAGGCTTCACCTTTGCTGGGTCCGAGAGATCTCTACCGATCTCTACCGAAGTCTAAGACTTAGAAGGCTGGCCAGGGCAGGAGCTGCTAGGAGCCCTTGAGGCAGAGGAGGCTGGAGACACGATATCTACAGAAACCGCAGCTCTTTGCCGGCCGCAGCAGCAATGTTTACAGGACCCGAAAGAGTGGGATGTCTTCGACTCATGTGGACTTAGGGTGCTACGGAAGATGAGGGTCCTCCTGAGATGAGAAGCAGCGGAGGTGTGGGCGACCGGCAGCCGAAGAGGGACCCGCCTGCAGCAGGAGAGAAGGCCAAGCGGGAGGCTGGCAAGGAAGGCCCCCGAGACACCCGCTCACGGTGATTTATGACTCTCACCCCCATCCACCAAACTGAAAAGAAAGACAAGCAAGGCCCGGCGGGAGGCACCCAGCGCAGGGGCCGCCGAGCTCCGGCCGGGTGCCCCCGCCCTCCCGCCTCCCCGACAGCTTGCAGCCGAGCCTGGCCCTCCGCCGTCCCCCGGGAGCAGCGGGTCCTCCGCTCCCAGCCCGGCCGGCGGCGGCGAGGCCGCTTCCAATCTGCCGGCAGGAGCAGAGGGAGCGCGGGGAAGCGGGGCGCGAGGCCACCGCCGGCCCAGCCCGGAAGAGGACGAAGTTTCCGTTCTGCGCGCTGCGAGGGGCCACTCCCGGCCCGAGAACGCGTTTGCTGGAGGCGGCGGCGCTTAACGATTCCACCGCGGCCACGGGCGCCGGCCGAGCCGGCCGCGGGCCTTAAATAGTTTCCCAAGGGCCCAGGACGAGGGGTAGGGGCGCGCCTAAAGGGAAAGTCTGGGCTCCCCGCGAGCTGCTGGGCTGGCGACTCGGGCCCCTGCTGCACAGGGGCGCAGCCGTGCTCCCTCGTGGACGAGGACACCGTCCTCTGCTGAGGACAGAGAATCCAGACCCCATCCGTTGCAGCTACTTTGGGGTCTTGGGCGCCGGCACTACCAGAGGCTGACCCCAAAAAGTCGCGGAACTAGAGCGCGGTAGTGGTGTCCAGAGGGCGAAGGGGGAAAGGCCGTATTTTCATTTTCAGCACTGCCTTGAAAATAGAACCCAGGCCAGCCATGGCTGGGCGCTGACTACCAAGCTGGCCTTAGACATCTTCGTCATCTTTGTGCCAGATCAAAACTTGCATTGTCCTGTCTAGAGGTACATCACACACACACACACACACACACACACACACACACACACACACACACACACATACACACACACATATCTAAAACCCACTAGCTTCTCAGGACATGAGCCCCAGGGAGGCCACTGGCTGGGGATGAAGAGGTCACTGCTTTGTTTCTTCAGACCATAGTCATATCTGTGGGTCCCCTTAACATTCTAGACTTGATCTTTCCCACGGCTCAACTCTTGCCTCCAAGTAAGGCAGCGCTGGGATGTCTTTCTCTGAAAGACATCAGGCTTTACCTTCTGCTCCAGGACAGCAGGCCCAGAGGCCAGAAGGAGAAGATTGCCATGTCCTGCGTGTGTGTGTGTGTGTGTGTGTGTGTGTGTGTGTGTGTGTGTGTGTGAGAGAGAGAGAGGGAGAGAGAGAGAGAGAGAGAGAGAGAGAGAGAGAGAGAGAGAGATCTAGAACCCAAACAAAACACCCCGAAAACAAAATTTTAAATTCTTTTTCGTACTAGGAAAGGGATTCCCCACGCACGCCAGTCTTTTCTCCATTGGGTTTTGCTGCTTTTCTGTGGGATGAGGAAGAAAAACCGGAGGTAGGAAAGGGATTTACGACCGTAGTTCGGTCAAGTAGCTTGAATAATTGTGGACGGCTCGGGAAAGGCTTTCAAGGCCGCTCATCCCAACTACAGGCCACGCAGCGCAGCCGGGCTGGCCCTCCTCCCACCGGTCTCTGCCCCCCTCAGCTAATCATCTTCATTAGGGGCGTCATCGCCGACCTAATGAAAGCAAACTGTGTGGAAATCGCCGGTAAACAGGTCTGTGCTGTAATTAATTCAGTGTCTCTTTTAATCAAACTGGAAAAGAATCGGGCCGCGGCTTGTGGAGCCGTGACATCACCCCCAAAATCGACCGGAGCCAATCAGCGTCATCACTCCGGGGACACGTGGGTGAGTCCCCTTTAAAAAAAAAAACACAACACAACGAAAAAAAAAGAGAGAGAGAGAGAAACAACAAAAAAAAAAAGCCAGCCCCAAAGTAAAAGTGACACAAGTTCGATTTTTTTTTTTTTTTAAAGGAAGGGGGGGCGGCGAAGGCGCGCGCCGAGGACAGGTGAGAGCTGCGGTGGGAGCCGCGGGGCGCTGTCCGCGGTGCTGACGGCCCCCGGCGAGGCCGAGTGCGCACGCAGGCTCTCCGGGGCCAGGTGGAGCGGCGCGAGCGGCCGGGGCCGCCGCTGTCCGCGGTGCTGAGGCCTGCAGGTGCGCTCTGCTCCGCCCGCGGGTAGCGCGGCCCGGGCCGGGGCTCTGCGCCGTGCTGACCCCTGCCCTCGGCTACCGTTTGCCTGGAGGAAGCGTGCCGTTTGGATTTTGCTTTTTTAAAAAAGACGATCTTGATTCAGATTCCAACAGCCTCGCGTTTCTTCTGTGCCAAAGGGGCCCTCAGGCCGTTCTTCTACCTTTTGGCTCTCCCCAACTTGGCGCGCCCTCCTCCCATTCCTCCCTGACACTCCCACCACCACCCCCCCTCGGCTCGGCTGCTCGGCGCGGTGCTGCAGAAGACGCGTTGAACCCTTTTGGATGTAATGCGCAGAGGAGGTTGGCCCAGAGCTCCCGGGCTCCCCCAAGGCTGAACTCCGTCCAAGGTGCCCACAGGCTCCCTGCCCGCCTTCCCCATGCCAGCCCGCAGCTAGGGGCAGGGGCAGCGGCGGCTGGGGTTGGGGGTGGGTGGGGAGCTTTTGGGGAGGACAGGTCGCAGTTTGGCTATGGAAGGCTCCAATGGCTTTGGGATTGACTCCATTCTCTCCCACCGAGCGGGCAGCCCCGCCCTTCCCAAGGGGGACCCCTTGCTTGGGGACTGCCGCTCACCCCTGGAGCTGAGTCCGCGCTCAGAGAGCAGCAGCGACTGCTCTTCGCCAGCCTCGCCGGGAAGAGACTGTCTGGAGACCAGTACCTCGCGGCCCGGTGCGGCATCTGGCCCAGGTTTGGACTCTCACCTGCAGCCGGGGCAGCTTTCAGCCCCAGCCCAGTCGCGAACCGTCACCTCCTCCTTTCTGATCAGGGACATCCTTGCTGACTGCAAACCTCTCGCGGCCTGTGCACCCTACTCTAGCAGCGGGCAGCCTGCAGCCCCTGAGCCTGGGGGCCGCCTTGCGGCCAAGGCCGGGGAGGACTTTCGCGATAAGCTGGACAAAAGTGTCAGCAGCGCCTCGTCGGACTCTGAATACAAAGGTAAGAAAACAAGGTGAAAACGGGATATGGGTGTTTCTAAAAAGTGACATTTAGAACTTGAGAGCACACTTGGAGACAGGCACATAGTCATCTCAGGGGTCCCCCAGGCCCAGGCTGAGAGTTGGTCTTCTCTCGACCTCTTTGCCAGCCCCAAGGTTGGACCCTGGAGCAACAAGGAGTTGTTCAGTGTGTGTGGCCGGGAGAAGTGTGTGAGGCTGAGGGAGACAGTGTGTGTAAGGGAGAGCAAGCTCTACCAGATGCACAAAGCTAACTTTCTAAGTTGCAGATGGGGCCACAACTCCTCCACCAGTTGTGCTGGTGGACAGGAAGCTCACCTTCTGAGGTTCCCGGGAGGAAGGCTTGCAACAATGCAAAGCTTGGAGGGTGCCGTTTTGTCAGAGTGGAAGCCTGGCAGAAAATTCCTGCCAGAGCCCTTAGTACAGTAAGAATCTTCTGGCTTTTCATCTGAATTTCCCAACAAGAGGAGAAAGTGGGCCTCCCCACCCATTGGGGAGTGTAGTCTTAGGCCAGTCAGCCTGCAAATGAAGAGATCAATTTGGAGAAGGAACAGGCAGCCTAGCCAGCTGGCTGGAACAGGTTCTGAGGTCCAGTGGAAGGGGAAGGACCCCACATCCACACAGCTGCACTCTCTCTCTCTCTCTGAGTCGGGTCTTAAGTAGTGATCACCAAGCTGTGTTGAAGACCTAGAGATTCCTGAGTAGCAGGTCCAGTTACCCCCACTTTCACTTTGGGGATCTTTGTGGTGGCTCCCTTTTCATTCTGTCTTAACTACGGAGCTGAGGTGGTATTAAAAAGAAAGGCGGAAGGACGAGAAGAAAAAAGATCAGAGGGGAGGGGGAAAGAAGCAAGCGTTCTTTAGTCTTGTTTCTTATCTTTAGGCTCCACCCTGACTTTAGCTGTTTATTAGGTCCAGGGGTATAAGGTTCTTCAGGAAGAAGTTAAGTGGCAGAGGCCCTGGGTGTCAGAGGGAGCAGGGATGGAACTCTATGCCAACCAGCTGAAAACCAGGACCTGCTGCTGGAGACGCCTCCTGGTTTTGTAACTATTACAATTGACTCCCAAAACCCCTTCCTTGAACCAACACTTTGTTCTGCCTGTATCTCCTGGTATCCATTTGTGCTAAATTTCACAACTATTTAGTTAGATTCACTTAATCTTCCTCCCAATCAATTCCTTTGAGGGGAGACCTGGACTCCAAACTGAAACCACTCAGCGTCCACACCTCATCTCTCTCTTCTTCCCCCAGTGGAAATGCCTAGGCCTCCTTCAACCAGGCCATGGACCCATCATCTCTAGAAAGCCCACAGTTCCAACTACAGCACCCAGGAAGAGGGAAATTTGGCCCCAGCAGCCCCCCACCTGTTTAGAGAGGCAAAGAGAACTCACCTTGGAGAAAGGTGTGTGAGTGGAAGGCAGATATAATGTATCACATTGTGTGTGTGTGTGTGTGTGTGTGTGTGTGTGTGTATTTTATTCCTACCTAGCTTCATTAGAACTAAGGTTAGAGCAAAGAGCAGTCGGGTCCAGCCCTGCCTGTACGAACAGTTGCCTCCTTTTATGTTTTTGCCCCTAAGCAGGATTTTGAGGAGAGATTCCATTTCGTTTAAGATAATTGGAATATCAATTTTCTTCTCCTGTCCCTGATGATATCTGAGCAGGGAGATGACGAGAGAGCCGAGAGCCGGCTGTCTACGTATCACTTAAACAGGTTTGGAGCGCAGGATGCTGTAGAAAGTTCCAGCCACCTCTAGGCACAGGCGGTTGCTTTTGCACTTAAAACTCTCTGAAGTGCAAAGTGTGTGTGTGTGTGTATGTGTGTGTGTGTGTGTGTGTGTGTGTACATTGGCAGAGCAAAGCCAGGTCTAGCACATTTCTCAAACGGGAGTGGGAGTGACTTTTGCAGAGTTAGGAAGCTGGTTTGAGAAACAGACGCAGGAACCAGGTACCACCACAGCCTAGCCACAGGAATACTCCAAGGATGAGATGAGGAAGGGGTGGGGACAGGCCAGTCCCATCAGTTTCTGGCGTGAAAGGTTCCTTAAACAGTATTTACTGAAGTTGGAACAAAGCTTTGGAAGTAAGGCAGGTGGCCACGGCACATTGGCTGGAGCCCGGGCTCTAGGAGAAACCAGACCAGAGCTCCACTCCCACAGGAAGGGTCTCCAGCCATCAGGCTCTAGACTAGTGGGATGCAGGTCAAAGTATGAGAAATGGACACAAGGTAGACAGACAGTCAGACTGAACTGGGCGGGCGAGAGTCCTAAAGGCTCCAGCAGAGTCAGGAATAGACTAAAGTTTAAAAAAAAAAAAGTGGCTGGCCATCCCACCAGAATGGGGCGTTGTTCTAAGTAATCCAAGTAATTAGGGGAGGGTAAAGTAAGATTTCTGCAATATCAAGTTTGAAGTTTGAACAAGGATAAGCTTTAGGCTTTCCAGGGAGAAAACTCATCTTTATCTCTGAGAACCCTTCCCAGCGGAGGCAGAAGGCTGAAGGCCGTCTGGGGCAGTTATTCCAGGACTCTGTGCCCACGGGTGCTGGGGCTCCAGGCTCCCTCCCTGCCGGGAAGCCCTGCCTTTCCGGCTGAAAAGCCTCCCTCCCCAGTGGCTCAATTAACCGGATTATTGTTTCCTACAGAGAGGAATCACCTCGCATTCAGCTGAACCCTGTCATGGCAAATGCCACGCACAATGAAACTCACTATAAAAGAAAATAAAGAAAGCAGGGGGTAGGGTGGGCGGGAGGCCCAGCCTAAAGGGTTATTTTGGGAGAAGGGGACTATTCCGTTCCAATCTCGTCTTAAGAGAAGGCGATGAGATGCCAGACTCTTTCGATTAAATGTTTTCTGTTAAGTCAACCCCAACGAAAGTAGAGGAAAATGAACTAATCCAGTTCTGTCCGGTCCACGGTGGACCTCAGGAGCGGGGAACAGATAGCCATTTGCCGACCGAAGGCTGCCCACAGGATCGTTACGCCGGTGGGGTGGGAGCCACAGTGGGCACAACGAAGCCCCTACCTCGGTGACACACACAGCCCTTCGTGCCCAGGGACGATGAGTCTCTCTCCCCGCGCTTGGCGCTCGCAGACACCGGCACCCTGCCGACCTTCCACCCGCATAGTTCGGAAGTGGCCTAGGAATCGATCTACCACTACAGATTCTTGGCTAACCCGGAGTCAGTGAGATGTGGGCACTATTATCTGCTCTTCGGGACGAGGGGGTGCTGAGGAGCGAATAGGGTTTTGTTTCTCCATGCGGGTTTTGCGCCCAAACGCGGAGTCCACCACCCAAAAACCCGTTCTCGGCCAGTGGCAGACGAGGCCAGTCTGCCCCGAGGCTGACCTTCTTTCTCCCTGTGTTTGTGTGGGGTGGGTGGGAGGTTGAGTTTCTTCAGGGAGCTGCCAGCGGCTCTGCCCCCGGGCACTTCCTAACACCATTTCCTCCTCACTCGCAGTTCACACCCTTCTGAGGGCAGGGAATCCTGGCACCGAAGCGAAGCGTCCCTGAGCGCTTGGTGCTTCGGAAACCCAGAGGTCTGTGCCTTGGGGAGTGGGGAGTGGGACACGAGGGCGCAAGCACTACGGAGCCCTGACATGCCTTCTGTGTCTCCGCAGTGAAGGAGGAGGGTGACCGCGAGATATCCAGCTCTAGGGACAGTCCCCCTGTGCGCCTGAAAAAGCCACGGAAAGCGCGCACCGCCTTCACTGACCATCAGCTGGCGCAGCTGGAGCGTAGCTTCGAGAGGCAGAAATACCTGAGTGTGCAAGACCGCATGGAGCTGGCTGCCTCGCTCAACCTCACTGACACGCAGGTCAAAACCTGGTACCAGAACCGCAGGTGAGGTTTGGCTGCAGGACGGTCGGTCGGGGCCTTGGGTCCCTCCCTTGGGTCGCTCCCATTCTGTAAAAGTAGGGAAACCGAGGCTCTGAGAAAAGACCTTGCCCTAAGCCCCACAGTGAGTGACAGAAAGGCCACTAGACTGGCATCCAAGACAGGTGAACTGGCACAGAGGCTAATAGAGATTCAAGCCCTGCTCCACCTCAGCCTAAGTCACCATGGAACCAGGCCTAGGCTAGGTTTTGAGGCCTCTGGGCTCTTCAGATGGAAGGCCCAAGCCACGAAGGGAGAGTGGCAGTCCAAGTCTCCAGAAAAACAGAGAGGTCGGTCCTGAGGTTGTTGTACTCAGGATCAGTGGCCTCGTAGCGTAGCATTTACAGCCAAGAAAGGGCTCTCCTTACCCCAGCTCCTCTGGGAGAGCAAGACTGGGAAATTGGTATTAGGACACTGGTCTTGAACCTACTTCTTAACCTCCTTGTTGGGCATTCATAGGATTTAAACACACCGGTAAGATACACGTGCACAGATATGTCAGTCTGCATAGTGACACACTCTCCCACATACTTAGCAGAGGCAGGAATGGTGCCTTCCATAAACAAGCCTCAGAACACACAGCCCCATTAATAATAAATACCGATTACGGCTTCAGGCATCAATAATTAAGGCTCGTTGCAGTAATTACACAATTATGACGATGAGGAATTATTCGGGGGAGGGAAACAGGGCTGGTGTGACTGAGCCCACCTCATGGAACCCAGGCAGGCATGCCCAGCCTCACCCCAGGTGAGTGCAGAGCCTTGGGTTTCACTTCCTCACATCTGCCTTGCCCTAGGCCTCCCAACTTCTGGGCCAGAGGGATTTGGGACTAGCTAGCCCCAGGCCTCAAACTTAGATGGCCTGAGTATGGTCAGAGAGAAAGTGCGTGCATTCCTCCAGAGAAATCTCTGCTTGGAGTCCCCTAGGCCTCTGGGGCTACCCTCCTGGGGGTTGGCTACCCAGTAGCCAGCTCCGCCACCCTCTCTGTCACTACAGTGTCATTAGGCCTCCTCAGGGGAAGCATATCCAGAGGGTACCCGACCTGTGAGTTTGTATGTGCACTTTGGAGTCAGACAGTCTGGCTTGGAGCAGGGGCTCTGCTTGCCCGTTGCAGATGATCATGAAAACTGGCTCACAGGGCAAGGTTTTAATCTGTAAAATGGGGACAACAGTCATGTAAAGCCAGTGGGAGATGGGATGATGCATGATGCATTTGACTTGGGAATCCATTATTTATTAACGAATTAGCATGCTCCCTGTTGGCCACCCCGTGGCTCTCTGTGCCAATCACTAGGAAGGGGCAAGGGTTGTGGAGTGTCCTAATCCTGATCCCTTCCTCTGCCTTGATTTCGGTTTCCAGGACTAAATGGAAGCGACAGACAGCCGTGGGGCTGGAGCTGCTGGCGGAGGCAGGCAATTACTCGGCGCTCCAGAGAATGTTCCCGTCGCCTTATTTCTACCCTCAGAGTCTCGTTTCCAACCTGGACCCGGGTGCCGCGCTCTATCTCTACCGCGGCCCCAGTGCGCCACCGCCTGCCCTCCAGAGACCTCTGGTGCCCCGCATCCTTATCCACGGACTCCAGGGCGCCAGCGAGCCGCCCCCGCCGCTGCCCCCGCTGCCTGGCGTCCTCCCGCGCGCCGCGCAGCCTCGGTGAGGCGCCCTCTTGCCCCTAGCCGTGCTCCGGGGCCCCCCAGCTCAGACTGGGCGCGGGTCCCTCCCGTCGCCCCGGGGCAGGGCTGCCCGGCTCCCCGCAGTGCCGCAACCTAGTGTCCCCGAGGGGGATAAATCCACTGAGGCTACCCCTTCGCTGCGTCCTCTCTCCTGGCTGCTCCACCCCAGAGCCACTTCCACCTGCCGGATGTACATACGCGCCCCTGCCCACCTCCCACCCAACCCCAAGTCCCTGCGGGCTTCCCTAAGTGCTCCCTGTCCCCTCAGCAGCAGGTAAGGACGCCGGTGACTGGCTCTCTCCGGTGCCCCAGCCTCGGGTTCACCCTTCTCCCCGCGCCTCTGCGGGACAGGGTGGGAGTGCTGTAAGGAGCTACCCCCCCCCCCATCTCCTTTATTCTTCCTGAGCCCCGGGCTAGCGGCAGAGCTGTACATACAGTGTGCAAAGTGTATATGAAGTTATTTATTCGTGACAGTGTCCGTGAATCAGTGAGTCTGTGGCCTGTGCCCTCCCCGTCCTGGGTGGGGCAGGAAGGGGCCGAGAGGGCTTGCCCATGCATCCGGGCCCCCCAGCCCCCTTCCCTTCCACCCAGGTCCCGGGGCACCCAGGCCTCTTGGGTTCTCTTTTTTAATGTGGAAATAAACTTCTTACAAATGACCAGGCGCCTGTCCGCGCTACCGTCCGTTGGTCCCCGCTCAGGCCCTCTCCCACCTTTTCCTTCATAAGAAACTTCGGCATCTTTCACTACATTTCCTTCCATTCACAAAAAGTAAAGTTTTCTCTCCCTCTTGCCCCGTTGTTCCACGGTTCCTGGGTGCTATGGTCATACGCAGGAGACACCAGGAGACCCCGGCTGGACTTTCAGGGCTCTCCCGGTTTCCACATCGAGGCGAGCCTGTAGCTCTTGGCCTCCCCACCTGACTCGCCCTGCTTCCACACGGGGACCACGGGCGAGGCCAGCGCCTGGCCTGCCTCTGCTGCGTGGCAGACCACGAAGCTCTCACTGAGCCGACTCATCTGGCTCAGACTAGGGCGCCGGCAGCTGGTGACCGGCCCGGGCGCGGGGCAGACAGATGGACTCCGAAGCCGCTCCCTGTTGCCCCACCCTCCTCGGCCCGGCGCCCTCCGCTCTGGCTACCCGCAGCTCATAGTCTCTAATGCCTGGTAGGACCCCACGGGCCTTCGCGAGCTTGACGCCCCATCAGGCAACCCCTTTGCCCGATCCGTCATCTACCCCCCATCCCCTTTGCCCTGGGAGAAATAGGAGCGGGGTAGGGGGCAGATCACACCACCCGCCTCTGGCTCTGAGATCTCAGGGGAGTCAGACTCCAGATCACGTTCAAAGGGCCAAGGTCACCTCCTGACCTCGTTCGGTCTCCCGGGATATGGGCGCAGGTGCTGCCCTCCCCCACACCACCTGCAGCACACCGAACAAGATGGGAGAAATGCCGGGAAGTTTGGATGCTTGCAAGCAAAAGTACCCTCCCAGCATTTCTGGCCCAACTGTTCTGGGAGAGAACCTGGCAGTGGAGGGAGGGGGCGCATTCAGAAAGTAACCGCCCCCCCACCCTCCCGGCAACCACAGCCAGTTCGGCTACTGTTTCCTCCCCACCCCCCAGCATCCTCACACCCAGGCTTTTCTTTTCTGGGATGGTGGGGTATTATTCTAATTTTGCAAAATGCACAGCAGCTAATTAAGTCAAGGAGCCCCTCGGCTTTCAAGTTCTTTTGCATGTGAATGCGGGTTGGTAAATCCCTCGATCTGGCTGTGGTGGGGTGTGAGGGGGGACTGTCCCCAACTCAGGGTTAATGAAGTGGGAAAGGAGTCTCTCATAGCCTCCTGCAAACAAAACCCCCCAAGCAACAAACCCTGCCCAAATCCTACACGGATTGACTTAAACCCAGGGGATAAGTGCTTTAAATTAATCTCATTGAATAAGAATGAGACCAAACAAAACTCTTTAAAATCATATTAAAAATCTATCAAAGGACAACTTGCGGTGGTGTGCTTTTCATTTTGTGAGAGTGGAGGAGGCAGGCTGGAGCAGCCACCCTCACATTTACACAGTGCAGTGTAAACCGCAGACACATTCTGACTATGTAATTGTCCTTGTACCGCAGAGGCCATTTCATATCTTACATTAATGAAGAACAAGGCTTCCCTACAAGTTTATAATTACAATATTTTAAATTGTCCTGCACATCCCGTCTGTAATAATAACTCCACAACCTCTGCAGTGAGGTGGGCTTGAGTCTCCCATCCATTTACAAGGCCAAATTGGTTTCTCTGTTCCTAACTCAGGGGCTGGGTGCCCTCATTTAAAACAGAAAAAAAAAAAAGAATGACCATGAGAGACCCCCATGGACCAAACAATAGGCAGGCCCTGAAACACACTCTCTCTTCTAAATCTGGACTCCCTCCAAAGGGCAGGGGCAACCAAGTTTGAAGAGGTTGGCTTTTCTAGCTGGCCCTGAGCTACGAGGCTTTTGGAACCTGGGCTTCTTTTCCTTTCTTTCTTTCTTTCTTTTTTTAAATTGGGGGCACTACCCCAACAACTTGGCTTTATAGTTTTCTGTGGTCTAGCAGACTGATAAAGTTTGATGGTCATGGAGGCAAACAGGAAAGGCCTGTTAATCACTTCTCGATCAGGGAAACTTGTCGCTGCAAAGGTCTGAAGCTCCCATCGCTGGGAATGGCTTCTGCTGCCTGTGAAGTGCTGGACCCAGCCACTGGCAGCTTAGAATCACTTGCACTGTGAGGCCCATTGCCCCTTCTCTCCTGTGCCAGGGAGGAGAGAAATCAAAGCGGCCCTCTGACTCTCAGAACCGTCCTCAGCTGGGCTCTGCTTGGCCCCGGCTCCTGTGGGAGTGGAGGACACCATGATGTCTACTGCAGACAGCTGCTCAAGGGCTCCCTGCCCTCCAGTGGTGGCTCTTCACAAGATGGACAGCAGTGGACTGCAAATGGGGAAGGCTCTGGACCCCAAAACAAGCATCTACAGCCACAGCACCCCCTTTGCTGTCTGAATCTCCTGAGAATTTAATATGGTAACCAGGCTGATTTGAGAGAATGCCAAGTCCGGGACCCTACAAAAAGGTATGATTAAAAATACACACAAAATCAGACTATGTACACTGGAATTAGGCTAACATTGTGTCCATCTGATACCTGGGATGTACATCCTATCAAGATCCATAAGAGATTCATTTGAAGGTTATTTAAACTGAGAGAACATTAACCCTAAATCTGCCAAGTCTGTCTCCTGATGACTGGGTACTATGTTACCTAAGCACCAAGTCCACCAGCATCTTTATCAAGACACCCTTGCTAGTCAGAAAACTACACGTGTACATTACAACTTTAGGGTCAGTCATTTAGAAGGTCTCAGCACGCCTCACGGCCCTGCGGCTGAGCTGTTAGGGCCTGTTGCTGGGAGGCAGACACAGGTTTCTATGTGGCCATGCCTGATTACAGGCACTAATCCTGTTTTCACACAGCTGGGTGACTCCTCATAGTCTGAGTCCTCATTTCCCTTCAAAAGCATGGGAGTCCTTACAAATCCAAAGAAAGGTGGCCGATTTGTCCAGTCAGTTCACACCTGCTGCAGCTGCAGAGCATCCTCACAAACATCACCAGCAGGCTCTGAGTCTGCGACTGCCAGTCCTGGCAAGGCCATGCTCCCCGCACAGGGTTTTTTTCCCCTAGTGTTGGTGTTAACTGATCCTCCACCCTGCCTACTCTCAGGAGAGGAGCAAAGTGGCACTACAGTACTTGCCCTAGGGCTTCAGAGGGCCAGGGTGGGCTGGGCACACAGGAACCCGAACAGAGTACACTGAGCTTTTTAACCCTTTCTCTCCTGAGTCCTCTGTAATGTCCAAATCTTACATTTATTGGGAAATCAATACGCTCCAGGGGTCCTCTTTCAAACCTCCCAGAAACACAATGGTGTGTGGGGGTTCTGGGTCTAGGTCACAACACAAAGACCTCAGACCTCGAAGAGAAGACAGGCTCCGATGGGAAAAGGCGAGCTCGGGTGCTAGTGCCTTTTGACTTCAAAGGCAGATAATAAAAAGGCAACAGTCAGTCAATTAGCCCAGAGAGAGCTAGTCTTCTGTGGACATGAAAGGGGAGGCAATGCACATGGCACTATGCTGTGCTTATGGAAGAAAGCAGTGTTTTTGACCCAAAGCGAAAGCTCTCTCGGTCCTTCCTCACAGAACATGCAGACACTAAGAAAATAGCTATTCAACAAACACTTTATCCTTTTGTACAAGTTCAGTTCCAGTTTTTAACATTCCATCTGATAACACTCATGCAATACATGTGTGGCAGCTTCATCTGGCGAGCTCGCCAGGAGCCACACTCTTCCAGGCTGATACACAGGATGTTTTGCTGTCCCTGTGCACAATCTTGCAAGAGGCCAGAGCAAAGGCAGGTGACTGTCTAGCACTGGCTCCTGCCTGCTGGTTTCCATCAGGGCTCCTCCTCCAACAGGTCTGTGTTCATGAAGTTTCCCTGATAAGAACAGGACATCAATCTAAAGCCACAGGGCCTGTCGATCTACCCTGACCTGGTCCTGTAGAGAGATTAAAAACCAAAAGAAGCTGGCTGGTTGGTGGTGAGCTTCTGGATGTAGGAGCAGCTTCATTCTCTCCGCGGCCTGGCCTTGCTGGGTACCACCTGAAAGCCCCGCTGTTTGCCTTGCTTGCCACCCTTGGAGCCGCCAGCCTCCAGCCCACTTGAGTATTCGGAGTGCAGGACTTCAGCGAGCACAAGGTGGTGCTTATTCCGGATCTTCCTCCGAGGGTCAGGCCTGAGAACAGAACAGCAAAGGGGAAGACTTTAGTGTTTTTCTTTCTTTCCCATTTGGAAGGAGGCTGACAGCAGCGGGCTGTGAGACCAGGAGGCTGACATTTTTGTATTAGCAGAAGAGCAATCTCTTCAGTAGCACTTGTTTTGATATTCTATGCACCAGAAGATTAGATACGGTGCTGACAGATTTTCATAACGGTGGCAAAATATCATGGCATTTTTAAAAGTGAGGCTTTGTTCTGTGTTGTTTTTATGGGGGGGGGGAGTGTACACTCTCCTTCTGATGGCAAATGAGCTGTACGAGACAGCAGTTTGCCTGCGGATGGGAAAGCCCGCAGAAACCCGACAGTGCAAAACAGATAGCAGCAAAGCTTCCATGTGCAGGGCCTCAGGGATGAACCCTTGAGGGCAGACTGTGGGCACAGTGCCCTGCTAGGCCAGACTAGAAGGCAGGAATCTACACAGACTCCTTAGCACTCACTAAAGAGTGCAAAACACCCTGATCCTGCAAAATACAAGCCCGAGTGCCTTCTGAGCAGCCACACAGACCTCTGAAGAAGAAGGGGGCAGGAAGAAGCTCCTTCCCGGTCTTGACCCACAAAGTGCCAAAGCCTGATATCAGGTTCAGTAGGGAAGCCCAGGAACTTCAGGAAAGACAGCAGTCTCACCACTTGACCAGAATAGGAAACATGTAGAAATTCAATCATATACTGAAGAGAGAGAATGGAACCATGAGGATAAAACACACCAACTCAGAGGTAATGACCAATAAGTCCGTACTGGCTTTCTGGCAAGTCCTTCAGCACCCCACATGACAGTGACCCAGGAAAACTCAGTATAAGGAGCTCAAAATAGGCCACTGGCTCTAACTTGACAGCATGTTCTGTGCTGTGGTAGACAGAGACTGACTGGACAAAATAAACAGGAGTCCTTTAAAATCCAAGAATTAGACACAACCAACACTGTGCTATGAGCCTTATTAGGAAGGTTGAAGATCCCATTATAATGAAGGTGAAGCCATTTATAATCCCACCCAGAGCACAGGGTTGCAGTTATAAGATCCTGTTTTTTTTGTTTTTTTTTTTTTTCAAGAGGAAGAGTCAACCTTGCTAGGAAAAAAGATTTGAGGGAAGGGTGTGTCAGCAATGATATTTAAGGTTGGACGTTTATTCAGCACATATGCTGGGGCAGGGCCCAAGACCACTAGCATCACACAGGGAAGCAGTCCCTGCATTCGTATTATCCTCATTTTACAGGTAGGCACAGTGGTCTGGAGGGTGAGAACTTGCTAAGGCCATGTGGCTGTAGATGTAGGTTTGAAGCACCAGCCAGCCAGATACTACTGTGGGAACCATGATCAGAGTTATAGAGGGGAAACCAAGGCCTGCAGACTGGAAACTGCTGCCTGTTTTTGTTTTTGTTTTTGTTTTCCTTGCAGAGGAAGAGTCAACCTGGAGTAGAGGCAGAGGCAGGTTCTACTTACAGTGCCCTCCCACTTCCTAAGGAGCAGTACTGTTGACCTGGACTTCTCATATGGACTGCTACGTCCCTGGTCAGGTCTGAGCTCCAGGCCTGTGCGTACAGACAGGCTGTGGTGGCTGGGCCCTGACTTGTTTCACAGCAAAGGCCGCAACTTCCTGCACTTGTAGTTTAGTTTTAGTCAGGTTACCTGACAGACAGAGCTAAAGGTTCTGACAGGAAGGACACTTTCTCTTCCCTCTTGTTTGAAGGAGGTGCTCACAATGTGTATCATTTTAAATATAACAACCTGAGTTTCAAGATACGCAAAATTTCAGTCAAAATATTCTCCCCAGCAAAAGTGCATGCTCCTGCCATCACTGCAGACAACAGTAACCAGAGTCTCATCTGGTGACTGATACATTAACTATCTACAGAGCAGGTGCAGGCTGTGGGAAGCAGCACAGAGCATCATACCCACGCCTTCAGCTGCCCAATGCAGACACCTCCATAGACAACACCTCCCACAAGGGCCCCTTGCAATGCCCTAGGACACATCGGTCCACAGACAGAGAGCTGGGTGGGAGGTAAGCCCCGGGGCCACACTGCCAGACCGACTCTCCAAAGTGTGGCTTGGTGGCAGTGATGCTTCACAGGCAGAGGTTATCCCACTCATGTTCCTCGTCACACCTTTTAGACATCTCATGCAAACCCAGCAGCACACAAGCTGCTACACATTCCAACTCAGGCCACTCGTAGGTAGACACCCCTGCAGGGCCTCAGTGCTGTCGCAAAAGGATGCCAACAAGATGCACTTCGCCCACAGCCAGCTCCCAATTTCCTCCTTTGTTCTTAGGCCCACAGCTGAGAAAGTACAGTACAGATGGGAAGGTGAACCCCTCTAAACCCAAGCATGCATCCGGCATTCATGCCTACTGACAAGCTGCCGTTCTCCCAGAATTCTGCCAACTTTCTAGCCCTCCTAATACCTGGACCCTCTGACTCAGGCCTCCACTGTGGAAATCTTGTGGTTACCAAGCAACAGACCAGTTTATCTAACTGCAGGGAACTCCCTCACAGTGAAGGCTGAAGACCCTGTTCTCCAGGCTGGATTATTCAGCAGGACAGGCAGATGCCACTTACTGCTAGTAAGGCAGTCAACCTAACTGGTAATCACCGCCACCAAGACCCCTGAAGGAGGACTGCACAGTGCTCTCAATGTCATCTGCAAACTCAGCAGTCAGTCTCCTGGGCAGACAGCAATGGAGCCCATAGCTTTGCTCACACCGTTCTTTTGTAGAACAGAACTTATTATTTTCATTCATTCATTCTTTTATTTATTTTTTGAGCCAGGGTTTCTCTGTGTAATAGAGCCTTGGCTGTCCTGAAACTCATTCTGTAGACCAGGCTGGCCTTGAACTCACAGAGATCCGCCTGCCTCTGCCTCTTGAGTGCTGGGATTAAAGGTGTGCACCACCACGCCTGGCTAAGGACAGGAAAAGACATGTTTTAAATCTATTATTATTATTATTATTATTATTATTATTATTATTATTATTATTATTATTATTTTATTTTTTAAATAGCTTTAGGGCCACGCACAGCAAAGTCTTTATAAGATTCTAAAACCACTCAAACATACCTTCTTACTGATGGATACTACTTGAACTCCATCTTGGTTTTACGATGCCTTAAGGCAACTATTTCTTCTCAAGAATCACCCATAACATTCAACAGTAAATCCAAGCTAATCTTAGACTGTGAATTTCTGAGTAACTTCTGGCTTCTACTTTCTAGTTTTTAAAATGGTTATGTATTCCTTTAATAATGAGGGGGGAAATCAGCATATCCTCTTTATAGGAAACAAACTGTAATTTGATTTCTACTTATGAAAACTCCACTTCCTTCTGGCCTTCTGCTATTGCACTGCAATTAAGATAGCTCAAAGGACCAATTTTTCCCTTCCAACTGCTTTCTAATCTAGAAGATTCTGAGCGTATGTATACAATTCAGAAGGCAGTGATGACCTCTGGCTGACTGTAAGTTTCTCCATTGTGCCTGGCTAACTTGGGGAGGAAATGGCCGTATATCATCAAGGGTTCTGTTGGCTTTCAGATGACAGGAAGAGAAGGGAGTGCCTTCCTGAAGGGGCATGCCACCTAACATCCGACCTGATGGCAAGGAAAGGCGACATGTTTGGGCAGAGATGTTGGTGGCAGGCTGGCCACTCAAGGGTGCATCTTTGAGTCTCAGGACCCAGCTAAGTTCAGTCTCTGTCTTAGCGGGCACCGCAACAGCAGACACAATAGCAGAAGTCAGTCCTACATACGCACGGTGTGCTGGCTTCTGTCTTGTCAGCCTGATGAAGGATACAGTCACCTGGGAAGAGGGAACCTCACTCAATCAAGAACATGCTTCCATATAGATTGGCCTGTGGGGCAATTTCTTGATTAATGATTGATGTGGGAAGGGCCAGCTCGCTGTGGGTGATGGCACCCCAGGCAGGTGACCCTGGGTGGTATGAGAAGCCAGTCAGTAAGCAGCCCCCTTCATGGTTTCTGCTTCACTTCTTGACTCTAGATTCCCTCCTTGTTCCTGCTCTGACACCCCTTAGAGATGGACTACAAGCTGTGGGGAACTGGTAAATGTCTGCAGACAGTAGGACTCGTGCTCCATGTGGGAGAGGACAGAGCTCCTACCTGGTGACTCAGGCAAGAGCTGCACCAGAACCCTTCAGTGGTAGGGACTTCCTTAGCCCAGGTGGCCAGGCTGAGGAGCGGGCAGAGGGGAAGAGCCTGCTGGCAGTGGTCGGAACCCCAGCTCTGGCACTCACCTAGCTGACGACCTGAAGTCAGCCACAAGTTCAGAAAGGGCCTGAGCATAGAGAACAAGCAGCAGCAGCATGGAAGAGTACTGGTGTTATTTCAGTCCTCCGTAAAAATGTTATGGATTAAGCATATGAAAAACTGCTATGGTGAGATTCTGGGAATACCAAAATTAAGCTGTTTGGGGCAGAATCTTGGGCCCACATCCAGGGCTCAGCCCTCTGGGCCTCTCCTGTCTAACACATGTCTGTGACCTGGGTGATACTCTAAGTCTACTTATCACATTTACAGAGAGATGACGGCATACCCACAATTCTCTATAGGATCAAAAGGACAGGTTCAGGTGATCTTCAAGGACAGTTATGAGGCCCTGACCCTGAAAGGGGAAAGGAACTCTTTTGTGTGCAATCATCTAGCCAAGCTGGTCAGATCTGACCTGGACTTGAAAGGCCTAGGATGGATTCCAGCTCCACCATGCTGACAGCAGTGTGGCTTCAGGCAGCCTCATCTGCAGCCACAAGAGCATGAAAGCAGATCACTCATGGCAGAGGGCCAGTGCCTGGCTGTGAGTGGACACTGAGTCACAGTTCCTACGACACTTACCATGAGCTATACCACCAGAAGTGCCCACCCGGGCACCTGTGTTAGGTAGTCTCTACTGTATGTGGGAATGGTTCTCATGAACCAGATGAATAAGTGTTGACTATTAGTAGAAATAATATGGGGAAGTGGAAGGGGGAAGAGATAACGGGCCACCATCTGATATGTGATTGGTGACACCAGCACCTCATCCATCTTTCTTTCTTCTTTTCTTCCTTTCTCCCTTTCTTTCTTCCTTCCTTCTTTCTTTTTCTTTTTGTGATTCCATTTTTTTTAATGCATGTTAGATAAGTAAAAAACAAAGTATTTATATTAGGCATTATTTTTAGTCAGAATGAGAAATAATACCTCATGTTTCTATATGCAAATGGTACATACACAGCATTGGAGTCTCAGAGAGAGCCACTGGTGGAAACCTTGGCCTATTTTTGGGAACTCTAACGGTATGCTGGGGCCACTATGGAGTGGGCATCCCTGAAAGTGGCAAGCCGCTGAAACGTAGGGCTTTTACTAAAGTACAGGCCACACAAATCATCAGAAGGTGTTCAAACAAAGAGGAAGGCCAGGCCAAGGTGGATCAGGAGTGGGATGGGGGAAGAGAAACAAGCCTTTTCTGGCCACTTTACACTGCACTGGAGGCCAGGCGCTCACAATCCCACACACTAGGTGACAACCTCCTGCCCTTCCCACTTTACAGAGGCTGTCACCAAGTGCTAGGGCTGGGACTACTCAGGAAGGGCCAACTCCAGAACCAGGGCTTTTTTGTATGGCACTTCCTACCTCTGCACCCAGAGAAACTGACACCACTGCAGAGCCAGAACTTACCACAAGTATCTCTACAAGCCTGCTGTCGGCTACCCCACAAGCAGAGCCATAAATCCCACCCTAGGGCTCAACACTTAGATGGTGTGAAACTCCGTTCTTCTACATACAACCTTGTCTCCTGCCCTAAGTCCATTTCTTTAGTTACACAAAGAATGATCTCCTCACATAAAACAAAAACCCCCTTGGGCTAGAAAGATGGCTTCCTGGGCAAAGGCGCTTGCCATGAAAGCCTGCTGACCTGGATCTGATCAGGTATGCCCTGAACCCATACACAGTGGAAGGAGAGAACCAACATCACGGAGATGTCTTCTGATCTCCACATGCATACTTTAGCGCACGCGTGTGTGCGCGCGCGCGCGCGCGCACATACACACCACACAGTAAAAGAGAAAATAGTATAGTCCCCTTTACAGGGTTATGTACTTGTTACAAGATGACTCTAGAAACAATCGACACTCCAGCAGAACACGTAAGGATACAGAGAGCTCTAGTTTCTCATTTGGTCACAGTGTCTGGGGGATCTCCATAGGATAATGTACATGAGAGAACCAGCTTGGCAGAGAGCATGCGTCCTCTGGAGAGATGACCAGCTGCTGTCAAACAACTCACATTTCACATGCTGAGTATGGCACACTGGTGATGTCAGAGGCTGCTTCTCAATGCCCCTCCGCCCCTTCAGCTTTTTGAAACAGGGCCTCTCTGCATAGCCCTGGCTGTCCTTGAACTCACAGAGCTCCACCAGCCTCTGCTAGGATTAAAGTCGTGCTCCACTGCACCCAGCAGCACGCCTCTTCTCGATGGTCAACAAGCTAATCCTGTTTTTGGACTGCTACTTGTAAGAGTTCAGGGCCAGAATAAAGGCAACATTTGAAAAAGACTTGGAGACATTTCACACGGGTCAAAACCAGAAGGGAAGGCCTTGGTATCTAGAGAATAGATGGAGGGTAGGCTGGAGTATGACCCCACCCCACCCCCACTTCAGAGGTGGCTCAGCAGGAGTAGGGCCCGCTTAAGAGAAATCAGTTCTCACAGGAGGGGTTTTAGGGTAAGAAAAACTAAACTGTGGGTAGCAGGGGAGAGCTAGCAGCTACCATGTTCTTTCTTGACTTTCCAAATGACAGGAGCTAGGTACTCTCCTGTAGCATGCATGCTGCCTTGTCTGGTGTGGCTAGTCTGCAGGGCCAGCTTCTAATTCCAGTGCTTGGATGACTCTAGTAGCAAACATTACCATCTCCAATACCCTCCCAGGAGAGGCTGCCTGGGCTCCTGTTCTTTGTTATCGCCCGAACTGTGTGACAGAAAGCATGTCCGATGGCTCCTGCTGTCTGCAGGTGACTCAGGTGTGGAGGAAGCTCAAGGTCACTGTGAATTCCCTCTAATCGCCTCATTAGCCGGTGGGGATGAGGGTGAGTTTGTTCCACAAGGAGGCAGAAAGCTGGTAATTGCACAATGCCAGATTAAAAAAAAAAAACAGTGGTAGAAACAAAAGGGCAGATGTAAAGGTTGTGTGTGCAGAACCATAATTACCCCAGAGTCCAGGGCAGCAGGGTAGACAGTACTAGAGCTGTAGAGAGGAGGGCCCACATGGGCAGTCCATTTGGACAGGCCTGTGAACATACTGTGAGCTTCTGACAGGTAGGCTCAGTGCCCTGTGCAGTTAGAGTTCTGTCTAGAAGAACCCAGTCACTCATTTAGCCACTTTCTTCTTCTTTTTCAATTGTATGTGCATTAGTGTTTGGCCTTGGGTTTCAGATCCCCTGGAACTGGAACTACAGACAGTTGTGAGCTGCCATGTGGGTGCTAGGAATTGAACCTGGGTCTTCTGGAAGAGCAACAAGTGCTCTTAACTGATGAGTCACCTCCCCAGCCTCTCGATCACCTTCTTGATGACTTCAAGATTACTGCCTAGCTAAAGGCCCTTTCCTCCCAGTTCTGTGGCAAAGACACTAAGGGCACGTGCCTGACACATTGTTGAGGACACCCTTTCCAGTCCCCAAGTCAAGTCTGTAGTCACCTCTATGTCACTCTCTATGACTGAACTGTGGTCTTTGGGGTGGGACCTGGACACCTGGTTTTCACAGTACTCCTCAGCAGACTTTAGAAATAAATTTTGTTGTCCCATCCATGTCCAGCTGTCTCCACAGCTCTTGCTGGTGGTCTTACTTCTCTCTGGTCCTCAAGTAAGACTGAGTTCTGGCTTTAGATGAATGGGTAGAAGACAGTGATGGAAGCCTGCTCTCTTCCACATTCTCACCGGGGAAGCCAGAGAGACAGAGGGGAAGCTGGGCCAGGCTGATTTTGCTGTAGACTTTATACAATAATGAGGTAGTCTAGTCTCACTCTTCTCCACATAGAAGGGCTGCCACCTGACATACAGAGCTCTGAAAAATGGCTCCTCCAGGTAGGGTTGGTCATCTTCACAGTTCACTAAATAATGACTGAGTTCACCTCCCTTCATAGTAGAACAATTCCTTTTCTCTTCCCTCAGAGTTCCAGAATGATTCCACTCATTAAATCCAAAGTATTTCCTTTGTACCTATCGTGTGTGCCTGTTGGGTGCACAGTGAACATGAACCTGATGGGGTTTCTGTTGAGGCACTTCAAAAGACATCAGCCACACACACATCCCACACATAAGTATGACTGTATCATGTGTCAGAACAAGTGAGGACATCTATCTGCTCCAGTGGGTCTGAGAGGAGAGGGGGAGAGCCCAGGCCAGGCTCAGGCCTAGGTCTTCAGAGTGAAAGCAGGATGTCAGTTGAGGCTGAGAGGCCACCAGGACCCATTAGGGAAGCAGGCGCTAAGCAACAGGATGTCACCAAAAAGGTCCTAAGCCAGGGCTGGTTAAAGAGTATGAGTGGGCTGCCTGCACAGCAGTGGCACAGGGGCATGGAAAGAGAGCATCCAGGAGCTCAGAAGTCAGCAGCCAAGAGTCCATCTTCATGAACACAGAGTTCTGGAAGTCAAGGGAAGAGATGGAGTTAAGGAGACCCAAGGGACCAAGGCTGTGTGTTACAGGATGGACCAGGAGAGCACCAACTCAGGTGCAGCAGACACACATGGAGAAAGCCTTGTGCTTCCAAGTGCGGCTGTGCCCAGGCTCTCATCTCACATTTGGCCAATCTGTTTTTTGTAGAATAACTGGCTCAAAGAAATTGAGAAAAATTTCACAGTGGGCAGGATTCCAGGTTTTCCTTCAGCTAATTAAGTGATATTAGGGAGGTTGTAAATGCCACGTAAAAATTGGCAGCAAGCTGCTCCTAATGATGAGGATATTGCTTCCCAGGGTGATGCAGCTGCAGCTTCTTAGTGCTCATCTTCAGGGGACCTGATTCTGCTTTCAAGGTTGTTCCAGAGTGCTGGAAGGTTGCAGCTACTTCCACACATACTCCGGTCCTCAGTCCCAGAACTACTCTGATACTGGAGGCCAGCAGAAGGGCTAGACAGTCAAAGGCCAGCGTCATAGTAGCTAAGTATTTGTGTCTACTATGACACCATGAAGCCCACGTGACTGCCTTCAGGAGGCAGATGAACTGAGGTACAGAGAGGCCGTTGCTTGCCTAAAGGCACACAAGCCTGCAAGTGACTTGGCTAACCTGCAGTGTGACACTCGGACACACTTAGGAGACAAGGAGGGGGGCAAGGAAGACAGCTAATGGGAACACACAGAACCAACGTCTCAAGCTCCCACACAGTAGCACAGGGTGAGCATTTACTGGATGTTTACAATGACACACTGGCACAGTGAAGGCTGTTGTGCCCCCACGCCAGAGCTTGCAAGGTCTCTGTTGTGAGCTCTAGGGACGAGGCATTTGTGCTGATTCAGGTAGGGGCAAGTCTCTCTACAAGGAATTGCCTGCCGTGTGTGATTTCCATAAGGATGTTTACTTATTTTGAGAACTGAAAGACTTGTAGGGCTTTAGAAGTGTGGAGGTTAAATGTTTGGCTGTGCTGGTCTGGTCCGGCAGAGCCAGCCCTCAGCAAGCTTTTCTCCCCAACCAAGCACCGCCACATCTAGGAATCTTACCTTACCACATCTAGAATGCTTACTTGGTTTGAAAAAATGGAAACTACTAGGTAAAATAAAATCACTTAAGAACAGTTAACAACTGAGATTGCCATCCCTCTATTAATTTTAAAGGAGATGAGCAGAGAGCAGGGGCAGAGATTGGATTCTGATGATGCTATCACTGATGACCACACTGGAGGGGACAGCAGAAGCTGGAGAACTGTCTTGGGAAAGTGGTGCTGAGTGTATGGAATAATTCACACAAGGTGGGTGATTTAGAAACTGCACATTCACATTCCCACACTGTCAGTGACACCAGCTTTGTTATTTTGGAACCATTTCCCACCAAGTGAGAAGGAATCATGGTCCTAACAATGCATGTCCCTGGACTCACCTCACTCATGTGTACCTAGACAGTAGTCCAACTGTCCTTGCACAGCAGATAGGCCCCGGTCCCCATGTCTCCAGGGAAGATGGCAATTTTAGAGGACTATGTTACCAGTTTTGCTTCCTGGGAACTGCTGTTTTTGTGAGGAATGTTGCTGAGGGGCCATTCAATATTTTACCAACAGCACCTGTATACATGTACATGTGGATGTTTGGGGTGGGGGCTGTTTTGACAGGTTTGTGTGTAGGTGCCAGAAAAGGTTTTGTGACTATGACTGTATTCCCATGTGTAGAGAGATGTTTACTGTTCCCTCTCAGAACTGAGGGTGGGGAAGCTGACAGAGACCTGAATATTGAGATTTCATTGGAGATGTTACTTATTTTCTTGTTCTGAAAAGTGGCTGTGTAAAAGGAGAGAGGTTGTGTACACAAAAGACAAAATCCCTTTGCTACTGCACAGGAGTGCCCTGACCTGCCTTGACCAGCACCCAAGTTTCCTGTGTGAGGATGACAGGCTCGCCGCAGCCGGCTGGACTTCGCTAGCAGACACCATGGTCTGTGCACAGCCTGTAATTATTCCTTCTGGCAGTGAAAACCAAAAGTTGGGAGCAGAGCCCTTGAGGACCTGGTGCCACTACTGCACTCATCTGCACGTGACAGAAGGAACCCGTTCTCTTTCTTGACAGGCAGATTTCAGAGAGGACGTTCAAGTCAGAACAATAATCATGGCCACAGCAGGCCCAATTCTTTGTACCTTATAGGGTTTAATGGACTTTTCTTTCCAGTCCTCAAAAAGCAGCAACTGGCATTTGCTTGAGTCCTGACAGAAAAGTACGGACAATCTGTCAGGTTCTCTCTGCCACTCACCCTGGCCACAATTAAACGGTTCATGCGCAGATTAGCTGCAAAATCATCCTCTTCCAGGAGTGATGACACGTTCCCAAATACAAAAAGGTACCCACTGTCTCTCCAGTGCCCGTCTGTGTTAGAAAGTCAGGGGCGGGGTGCATGGTGAGAAAGGCCTTCAGAAGAAAGGCCTAACAACAGAAAAGGCTGTTCCAGAGTGGTGACATGGTAAGAACATAAAGCCGTATAGCCACCCAGAGTAATCCTGTGACACACTGCTGTCACTCACTGCCTGGCTCCCTGCTGCGCCAGCCAGACATCAAAGGCCGCCCCATACCATCTTACATGCTCTTTAGCAGCTAATCAGCCCATTCTTCCCTGAATAAAGCCCTGTTCAATCAGCGGCTCACAGGGGTATAGTGGTCTTGGTGCCCATCTGCTTGCTAGGGTCAGCTGAGACATGAGGTGGCAGTCGCTCTCTCCCTAGTGGCTTCTCAAGGTAAGGTCAATGCTGCCACTAAGTCATTTACTTCCCAGGACCCCATGAGATGGGAGCTGGAAGTGAAGTCTGGGTCCCCCGACTCTGAGACCACTATCCTACACTGGGCAGCCTCTCAGCCCTCTGAAGCCAGGTGCTGACCGACCAAGCTAGTGAGGCAGTGTGTGCTTCCCGGTGAAAAGAGCAGGACAGACTTTGTGGGAACAGCCCCAAAGCACAAGGCTGCCTAACCTCCATGTCAGGGCAGGAATATGGTAGCATCTGCAACTATTATTATGCTGTAGGTGCCCAGAGCATTCAAGGAGTCTACACCAAAACCTGGGTAAGGGAAGAAAAGTCTCTCTACTCCAACACGTACTTATTCACTGTGTTTTCCCATACAGGTCACCCAATGAGGTGCCCCTACCTCAAGACCCCCTACAGAGCACTCTCAGGGTCTCCAGGGCTCTGGCTATGGTGTGAAGCTGGGCCTGCTGCTGCTGAAAGAATATCATTCCTTAAGGAGAGAAAGGAGACCATACAGACAGTTTGAGAGCAAGTATTAACAGCACTGTGGGGTTAGACTCAGGGACAAGCTTAGTCCCTGACTGCAGGGACTCAGGACAACTGACCTCACCCTGAGATTCCTTTTACAAGGATCCTTTGGACAGACCAATCTTGCACCCAGATGTGTGTTTTCTGGGGGAAGGGGAAGCGTCTGGCTTTTGCCTCTGTACGACTCAGCACCAAGGTGCATCAGCACCACGGATAGCTGCAGTTTGGGTAGAGGCAGCTCTTCTAAATCTCAGCCCCATCCCACTCCAGAGCTCACAAGGACCAAGATTGCCACCAGAGCTAATGATATGGAACACACCAGACAGAGGCCTCCTGAGTTACTCTACTGGGACAAAAAGACAACTCAACAGACCCGTCTTTCTGCTCAGTAATCCCCACTACATTTGCGTCCAACTGAATTTTTTGCAGGATTAGGCATTTTCCCCCTTGTTCCAAGTGCTTCTGTATTTTGAGACAAGCAGACACGAGTACACCCTCTCTCTGTCTCTCTGACACACACACACACACACACACACACACACACACACACACACACACACAC